GCATATAAGTGGACCCACGTAGCTCAAACTAATGTTGTTCAAGGGTCAAATACGTTGATAATGTTTAATTTTATGTTTCACCTTGATTGGGCCATGGGGTGCCCATATTAAATCTTGTTTCTGGGTATGTCTGTGAGGGTGTTTCTGGATGAGATCAAAATTTGAAACAGTGGACTCAGTAAGCAGATGGCCCTCCCTAACGTGGGTGGGCCTCTTCCAATCCAGTGAGGAGCTGAATAGAACAAAAGACAGAGGGAGGTGGAATTAGCACCTCTTTTCCCTTGCCCCACTCTTTAAGCTGGGACATCTCATCTCAACTTCTCCTGACTTTCCACTGGGATTTACACAAGTGGCTTCCTGGTTCTTAGGCCTCAGGTTCAGACTGAACTCCAGCTGTGGGTGTGCTGAGTCTCCAGCTTGCAGATGGCAGACTGGGACTTCTCAGCCTCCGGAGTCGTGTGACCTGATTCCTCATAATAAACCCTCCCCCCATATATATGTATGTATGTATGTATATACATATATATACACACACAGTCTAGAAATACATAGATATACATATCTATACATATATGTATAGATATAGATATAGTCTCCATCCTATTCTGTTTCTTTCTTTGGACAACGCTGACTCTCTCTCTCTCTCTCTCTCTCTCTCTCTCCCTCTCTCTCTATTTCTCTCTCTCTCTCTCTCACACACACACACACACACACACACACACGCACCCCACACACATATAACTCCCCACTGTTTCTGTTCTCTGCTCTAACCCTGATGGATATTCTTCCTAACATACCCAGTTGACTCCATTGAGGCAGGGGATCATGTCTGCCCACCTCCCTGTGCATGGTACCAGCATGCCTGTTGAATCACTGAATGGCTACAGAGTAGAGAAGCCAACAGTCCATGCTTCTTCAGAACCCCATGTCCACTGGCAGATCCCCTGACTTCCTGGGCTAAATGGCAAGTGGGTGATAATACCTTATCTAGGGACCTTGGCCCTGGGGCCTCCAGTGGCCTGAGCCTGCTCTAGTGACGGAGGGAGGCCCTGGGATGTCACAAAGCTACCTGGGGACTTGCAGCAATTCTCCTGGGGTTGGCCTCAGAGTTGGGAGGGGAGTGATATGAGAGGCTGTGGAGGTAGTGACTGTGGTGCTTTCTGCACTGCTGTGGGAAGGCCTTTAGGTCGCCGCCTGTAAGCTCCTCAGGAACCATGGGCAGCAGATGCCTTTGGTCTCGCACTCCCCCTCAAGGAATGACTTGCTCAGGCCAGGGGCGTATGAGGGACTTGGACTAAGGCTGCTTCCTGAAGCAGGATGAGGGAGAACTGTCTTCTTGGGAGTCATCCAGAGGCCTCGAATCTCTTTCACTCTTTCTTCAAGGGGCCTAGAGGGTTTCAGCTCAATGTGCCACCCAGTCCAGTAGCATTCCCTTGGGGATTGAAACTTAGGGCTTGGCCCAGATGCACCACACTCTTCTTGACTGGGCTGTCAAGATGCTAAGATGCTGGGATGCTGGGACGCAGGCTCAGAAGCCTATTTGTCTGCCCAGGAGAAGGGAGGCAGAGGGGGAAGGAGCAGCATCTCCTTAATAGAGGGGCAGGTCAGAACACACCTCAGAGCAGGACAGGGCCAGCCTGTAGGCCAGAGGGGATGAGGAATACAGGGGACTGTGGCTCCCAGGAGCCAAGGGGCAGTGTTTTTCTGGAAGGAAGGAGACTGTAGTGCTGCTGAAGGCGCAAATGCACAGAGGACTGAAAAGCTTGCATTGGAATTAAGGCCAGGAAGAAGGCATACGCTGAGTGGTGTACTTGGGGGAAAGAGTGGGGACTAGAGCTAGGTGGCTCTGGGTTGAAGCGTGAGTGGCACTGTGGCAGGGAGCTAGAGTGGCAGCTGGGTGGACTGTGATATTTAGGGTCTTTTGAACATGGGTAGGTTGGAAGTCTGGGGGAAAAATCCAGCAGAGGAGAGGCTGAATGCACTGAAGAGAGGAGAGCTAAGCGCTGGTGGGAGCTGGCATCTCCAAGGAGAGGCCTGGGACAGGCATGCTGGGAGAATGGGGAGGGGCCCGAGATCGGAAGGAAAGTGCTGTTGGGGGCAGGGAGACCATGCTGGGGTCAGGTGGCAGGAATCACTCAGGGAACTGTCACTACTGTTGCCCACGCTGGCTCAGCCTTGAGGTCATGTCTGGCTAGAGTGGGAAGGGAGCCCTCTAAGACTGGAAATGGAACCAACCCAGTGGGCCAAGCTCAGCTTTTGTTTGGGGGCTTGGAGGGCCAGCAGAGTGAGGACAGCTGTGGCCCCCAGAAGCTCTGGGAGGCTGAGGAGGCCTGACTGGGAGGGCTGGACTGGGGGATCTATGGGGATTCAGCTCCCCAACTGGCTGACTGTGAGCAGCACTCACTGGGCAGGTGGGTCGAACACAGAATCAGGAAGGGCACCTGATCCAACTCCCGATGCTCCTGGGCCCACAGGAGAGCTGGGCCCGACTGCCCTGGTGTGGGCCTGACGTGAAGCTGGGGGCTGGCTGCCTGGAGCCTCATCCTGGGGCATTTGGGGTAACACATGGAGCCCCAGTGAGGACAGTTCCTGGGGATGTACTGCCTGCGAGGGGCAGAGGGAGCAGCGACAAAGAGTGTGACAGGGAGTGTCAGGACAGCTCCATTACCCAGACCTACAAGGAAAGCTGAGCAAGAAGCAGGAGGGGCCTCTGTGAGCCAGTGGACCAAGAGCAGGGCTTTTGCTTAATTTAGCTGTTTCCAGCACCCGTCTGACCGGCAGGCTGGGGAGCTCAGCTTCCACCCCCGCCGGTCTTCACTCTCAGTCACAGCCATCAAGAAGGGTGGGTGGGGGCGTCCTCCTGGAGTACTTCAGGCTCTATTGGACAGGACAAGCCTGCCTCAGTGTTATAGCCTTCCTCAGCCCCCGGAGTGTGCCGTGGTGCTGGAACATTCTGTGCCTCCAGGATGAGGATATAAGGTCTCCCAGCCAGCTAGGAAGGTAGATGTGGTGTATTCAGTTTCTACTGCAAAGGATCACAACCCGTGCTTCAGCTCTGCTCTTAGAGCGCACGTCAGGGGCGTCTCAGCGAGCCTCCTTGCTGCCTTTGCGGGGGCGTGGTTTCCTGTGCGCCCCCTGCCACCTCCTGGGATAGGCACTGGTCCCAGCCATCCTAGTAAGGTCCTCTTCTGAATCAGGCACGACCGACTGTAAGCCAAATTCCTATTAAGCTCTGTGGAAGCCACTTTTTTGCTGTGAGGGGATGGCCCGGGCGTGGAGTGACAGGAGTCCCTGTTGCTTCTGTGCAGTTTTAAATCGGAAACAACCAGCAGCCAAGCCGCGTGCCACAAATGCCGGCGGGGAGGGAGAGAAGGGGACCGGAGGGGGGCGGGCTGGGGCAGCAGGTGCAGACCGCAAGGGCCGCGCCGGGACTCCAGGGGGCGGAGCTCCGGAAGGGGTGGAGCTCGACGGGGGTGGGACCGCGGGGCAAACTGCGGCGGTAACTTCCCTTCCACTGCGGTCCCTGCTGCGAAGCCTAGCTCTGCGCCTGGTCGCCCCCGCCCCCGGACGCGCTGAGCTGCTACCGCTCCACACTCAGGGGAAACCTTTAGCCTTTAGCCTAGGCTTTGGGGGAGGTGGTGGAGGAGAGGCGGGAAGTCCCTCCTTCTCCGGGTTGTCTTTGTGAAGTGACGGGACTTCTCTCCCGTGCAGAAGACTGCCTCAGCGACCGCCCCCCCCCGCCGGCCCCCCCCCCCGCCTCGCCGCCCTACATGGGTGTCCCTTAAATGGGAAGAATACAGATCTTTAACTGGGTCTGTTACCCTCTCAGGAGTGAGATTGGTGGTGCAGAGTGCCTACACTGGCGATGCGAGTCTCCCCCTGCTCCCTGACCCCAGTGCACTTGGTTGAGTGGCCTTGGTTTCCCTCTCTGTAAAATGAAGGGCTGGAGGAGAAAAATGACGTGCTTCCGTGCTGTGATGCAGATTGATGGCAGAGCATGCTGCACAAACTTCTTACCCGTCGCCCCTCCGGGCAGGGTCTGCGCGGTCCACAACGCACGAGTGGCCTCTGGAAGAACCAGAGACCCCAGCAGGCTTTGTAACTACTCAATGCTCCCTTGAAAAATGAAAACATAGAGGCACTTTTCTCCTGGCTGTTTATTACAGAACAAAGAAAAAAACGCACTGGCTTAAAACAGACGCCAGATTTCAAATGTAAAGGCGAAATAGAGGAGGTGGCAATTAAAATGTGATTACACAGAGTCTGGACACTGAGAAAAAGTTTACAGGACAGGTGTGGATTTTCCATAACACACACTTAAATATACATGACAATAATCGCAGATAAAAACCATCAAAGACAAACCCCAAATCAACTATTAATGTTTACAGACTCCCCACCCCCACCCCCCACCACAGACCTTACGTGAAAACAAATACTGAAGGGCTTTAAACCAGGTTCATCTCACCTCCACCCTGCAAGGTGCCACTGGAGAAGTGTGAACCTGGAGGTTTCTCTGTCTGAATGATAAAGGGAGGACACTCTAGACCCTCAAGGTGGACAGCGCGGCCAGTGTTCACATCACAGGTTCTCTTTTCACCCCTCCCAAATCTGCAGAACTCTTAGCCTCCTGGCAAATTCCTCTGCGGGGCACTTGTAAAGCTTCTGCTGTAATATGCGCATCAGGAAAGAGCCAGCGGAGACCCGACAGGTTTGCGAAAGAGTTTAAGAATCACACAAGACAATAGAATTTTTAGTGAAAATGGCAATAAATGGCCAAGGGGTTTCTACTTGGCATTTGTCAGTTTGTACAATGCCTCTTGGTCACATCCACACCTATCATTACATCAAAACCATAAGCGACAACCACCTGGCTTCTAAGGTAGCGCTGGGACTTAACAACCAGCTTAACAAGGTAGAGGCTGGGGCGAAGAACACAGCCTGCATATTTGCAACAATGTATAATAAACACAAACAATGCATAATAAACACAACTCTACTGAAACAAAAGCCGTCACTTTATTTACAAAGTCACAAAATGAAGTATAAATACTTCTGTCATTAACGTTTAGGAAAACCATTTACAAAATTTTCAAATATGTACAGGTAGCTTGAAAAATCACCAGCTTTCCATTTTGTCACAGGTAGAGAGAGGGATGAGCACAGGCTGATGCCACTCAAATCGTGATGAGGAAACAACTGTGTGGCTGTGGGGCCGGTTGCAAATTTGCTATGGATCCACGCCACTGTCCTTGATATGGATCCACGCCACTGCCTGAAGTGGTGTCAGCATGGGCTTTCTGTGGGCACTTAAAGCCCCCCAGCGCTCTGGGCGGCAGCATCGTGGGCAGCGGCGTGCTCTTCCAAAATGTCATCAATGAGCCTCAGGTCGCATACCCAGCCTTCCACTGGGCTTGCACTGGGGCCTTTCAACAGAGCTTCAATGAAATCCGCCTCACTGCCGTCAGGGGGTGACATCAGACCATTTAGTGAGGGCGAGGGCTGGGGCTGGGGCAGAAAGTCATAGGGTGCCAGCTCAGGGGGGGTGCCCATTCTGGTGAACGGACCTGGGGACTGGCTGGCAGCAACGGCAGAGGCGGTGGCAGCGGCAGCGGCCGCGGCCACATAGCTTGGTGGCTCGATGCCCTGTATGGGACTCATGGGACCAAAGCTGGCCATTCCCTGCTGGAGGGACTTGGCGGCATTGAGTGTGGGCACGGGACTCCGCACCGGGCTCTGCCTGAGGCTCTGGTTGCCCAGCAGGCTGAAGCTAGGGTCAACCAGAGCCGCACTCACCTTATGGCCAGGCCTGCCTCCTGGGGCCACCTGATTTGGGGGCGCAAGTGCCTGATGCAGTGGAAATGTCAGGGCTACTGTGGGGACTCTTGCGGGCGCCTTGGCGAAGATGGAGTTGCTATCAAAATGCTGGATGCTATTATCTACACGGCTCAGGGATGGTTCCCTCGAGACCACTGCGGTCACAGCTGCCGCCGCCGCCCATGCAGCATTGTTGAACACTGCGGGCATTCTTGGCACACAGGGCTGTCGGAGCTGGTGGGGACTTAGGGGCTGGCTGCCCAGGGGCCTGGGACAGAACCCAGGCAGGGGCACTCCTGAGGGGAGGGTCTTGGGAATCTGCAGACGACGACAGACAGAGCCGAGGCTGCTAATGGGGTTCTGGCCCGAGCGCGAGGGTATGGGAAACGGGGGACTGGAGTTGAAAATTCCTTGCTGCTTGCCCAGAGTCTGTGAGATCACGCCCAGGCCCTCATGGCTCTGGTGCCTGGCAGATGGGATCATTCCTGGACTCAGAGTGTTCTGAAGGAGCCCAGCTCTGGGTGGCATCATAGGCTGGCTGGATGGGGGGCTTGCCTCGGTCTGGCTACACTTGGAGGTGACTTGTTCTTGGACGGCTACAGGAAGGGAGAAGTGGAGGTCAGTTCCACAGTCACCTTCAGCTTGGGCTGCAGCTGCTGGCGGGGAGCTACTGGCCCAGCACTGATCTCTTGCTCTCTGCCCTGGGCTCCTCAACTCTTCTCAACTCCCCGTCTTCCTCCACCCTCAGCCTGCCCTGCAGTTCTTCTGGGGAGACTCCCCGGGCCTGTGCCCCCAGCCCTCTTCACGGACACACCAAGAGAAGATCCCATTGGGCTGAAAACGTCAGCTTATTGGTCTGTCTTTTCAGGTAGATTGTAAGCCCCGCGACGCCAGGATCTCGGTCTGTTTTTATACTCAGCACTCTGTATGCACGCCTGGCACTGCACACGCTTTGACAGTTGTCCACCCCTTGCTACTGGCCTTCCTGGAACTTCTCTGTCATGTCACTGCAGCTGAAGTATCCCTGGCAGGCCCCTCCAGCTTGGGCAGGGGGGACATTCAGCGCTGGTGTCAGGCCCAAAGGAAGAGGGGTTTTTGCAGAGAATGGAGGTGGTGCTGGGCTGAAACCAAGATTCTGACTACCTGTTAGGGGGCGAACGGCCTTCCCCCAGCACCAGGTGAGAACATTCTTGGCCCAGCCCCATGTCACTCCACTGACTGCTAAGAACTGCTTCACACACATCTCCCCAGCTAGTGTGGAAGTTCCGCAAAGTGGGGACCATGCCTGGCTTTTTTGTTAACTGCTGTATGTGCGGCCAGTAAATGTTGAGGACATTCGCAGCTGCCGTGGTAGGGTAGGGACCCCTGCTGTCTGTGGAGGCCCTGGGAACCCCTGCCAGAGAGCCTTTGAGGAAGAGAGTCTTCAACCCCTGTCCCACTGGCCACACCTGAGGGATGGCTCAGGAATGATTAGAATGGAAGGTCACTCCAGCGGTGGCTGGGGTGGTGGCGGGGGGGGGGGGGAACAGGATAAGAATCCTGGGAATGTGCCTTCCTCCTTTTGAGTATAAGTGCTTTAAGGGGCCTGACTCAGTTTAATTAATACCTTAGAATAAGCAGTGGTTTTAGAGTCGTTAAAACCTGGCTTTCAGTTGGGATCCTACTGAAGCTTTCAATGTGGGATCCACGCTGGGCGCTATTTAAACTGAGTTGCAGACTTCTCCTCTCTCCCTCAGTGCTTTCAGAAACACTGACAGTAACAGCTTACTCCGGAGTGAATTGGGGAATTGTTGCCCCGACCCTCCCCCCCCCCTCCACCCCCTGGCCTGCCTCTTTGGGAACAATGACCTTAACTGCTTACCTTGAAATTGACTCATCTGTTGGGCAATATATGCACTCCGCTGTTCAGGGGTCATTGCCATAAGACCTGATCTCTGCTTCTCTTGCTAAACAGAAGATGAAAAAGATGTGTTAGATAGTGGCTACCAAGAAATTTGGCCTTGGGATTGCTGCATGGGGGCCCGGGACTTGGCTTTGGTGTAGCAGAAAGCATGAGTGAACACATCAACACACACTTGCATGCATGCCCCACCCTCCCGAGCAAACTTCCACAGGTATAAACAAAAGTAGGATTCTGCACCTGGGTTAAAAAATCAACTGTGACAGCATAGGATGGGGGTGGGAGAGACAGAGCTTAACAGCAACAGCACACAGAGAGAAGATTCAGGCATTTTGGATGACCTTCTGCTCAGGATGGGCCAGCAGTGAGATGTGGTCACCAAAAGAGCAAATGTAACATTAGGCTGCATTAATAGAAGCAGAGTATGTAGAAGGAGGGAGGTGACAGTCCTACACTCCTCTGCCTTGGCCAGACCATGTCTACAGTGCTGACAAGAGTCTGGGCATGCCAGCCTCAAGGAGATCTAGATGAACTGGCTGCATTCTGAGGACACTAAGCGATAGGGGTAGGGTTCAGTCCCGGAATCACGCAGACAAGGAATGGCTAAGTGAGCCAGGGATGCCGTGGCTGGGGCAGAGCAGACTCTGGGCTATGTGGTGGTGGGTACCCCGTTTCTTCAGGACTGTCACGGATAAAGGGCTCAGGCTCCTTCTGGGTGGTTCTGGCACGAACGGCAGGATGATCACACGGTCAGATAAATGCACTGTCTGCCACCCAGAGTAGCCACTCACTGCCAACTTCCCTTCATTCTCCTGCCTGGCTGTAGCGTGGGCAGTTGGGACAAGCTTCCTGTCGCTCTCTCAGGGGGTGGCTGGTGGCCCGGGGGAAGAGACCCTCAGCCATTTGGTGCCAGGTGGCACCCAGGTCTCGCCCACTGCCCTTTCTCTCCCCTTCTCAGGAAGCCTGCTCCACAGTGTGCTGACACCCAAGGCAGCTCCCACCCCTTAGTCCACATTTTAGCGATACCCCCCGGCTCCAGATGCCAGAGGACTTGGCCTATAACATGGGCTGCCCGGCATGGCCTGCTTTTCTGCACCCAGTGGGGCTGGCGCTCGGGAGAGTGCTGGGCTCCCAGGCCCGGCAGCAGTCCCCGGCTTTGGTTCCTGCCTAAGGCAGAGGACAGACACAAGGCACCGGGCAGACTACACCAGAGGCGATTTCACCATCCCGCAGTTAGCCTACTTCCTGTCTGGGCTCTTGTTCTCCTCCACTGGGGCAGCTGGATGTGGGCATTGGGGGGCCGCTCCTGGGGCAGCCCAGGGAGCTGCCCTCTTCCTGCTAGAGCATGAGGTGCCTGGGGCCAGCCCACATGTGTTCAGTGTACTGAGCTGCCCACACCCATTCTTTCACGTCATCTTTGAGGTCGGCATCGCTACGTCATTCCAGTTAGGGATCTGGCCACAGAGCAGCTCGGGGGTCACGTGGCTGCCCGAGGCAGGAAGTGGGGCATTGAAGCTAGGCTCTGCCCGCCACACTGGGGGCAGGCAGGCTTTCTGAAGGCAGCCCTTTCACCCTGGGCCAGCACTTTCACTTCTGCTCTTCCCTTCCATCCTTATACCAGCTGGCCAAGATCTGGGCAGAAGATCTACAGCCCCTCACTTACTAATGTGACATACGAGGCCCAGAGAGGTTAAATGCTATGCCCAACATGATATGGCTAGGAAGTGCCGTGTCTCTCAATGCCAGACCCGATGTTCTGGCCTCTCCAGCCTCTCCAGCCCACTGCTTCTGGGGACCAGCTGCTTCTGGGGTCTGGTTCCTGTGGCTGGCTGGGTCAACACCCACCCTAAATCCATCTCCACCGTCTGACCCATTAGTTTCCTCAAAGAATGCAGTTGTACAAGGGGTGGGGGTTGGGGCTGGGGGCAGGGGGCAGGTGGAGGCTACAGAACACAACCAAAGAAAAAGCCAGGGAAGGGCAGATGAGTCCAAAGGGAAGGAGGTAGAGAGGAAAGACACCCATGGGAAATAAAAGAGAAGGCTGGGGCTGGGGCAAGGGTCAATGGATGGAGGAACTGGGTGGTGTTGGCCAGATGAAAGAGAGCGCTTCTTGAATAGTCCAGCATTATAGGGACCACGGGATGCTGCCCAGTGTTCATCCAAGGAAGCACAAAATCCGGACCTTCCCGAGTTTAAGGGAAAATCTGGTCAGCGACATGGCTACGGAAAGTCCCAAGTTCACATAGCATGGCGACACCAGGCCTGTGGGGCTGGGCCTCTGGCATCCTGCGACACCACCATCAAGCAGGAGTCTCTTCGGTGGGCTGGGGCCTCCAGAGGCAAGGCAGCCCTCTGCTCCGGGCCTGGTCCTCTTGGCCCTGGCAGAGGAGGCCTCCCCGGGAGGCTGCTTCCTTTGTTTTGCAGACGGAGGCCCCCATCCTTTGTTCTGAATCAATGTGCTCCAAAGATAAGCCCCAAGAAAACAGTTGTTGCCTTTTGACACTGACAATTGGAATCGTTGGAAAATGGAGAAAACAGGAAATGACAAATGTTTTCAGTGACCAGGAGGAAGTGATGGCTGAAAGTTGCTGCTTAGTGACAGACACTTGTGAATGATGGCCCAGGCAACCTGTGGCTTTTCATAAGCATGGTTATGGAGGAGGTCATCAAATGACTCATTTTTCTAGTGCTGCAGTTGTCATGGCGCTCCGTCCTATTGTGCCAGGTGACACTGACAGAACAGTGTCAGGTGAGTGCTGTGCGAGCCTAGCTGTGCTTCCCCCACAGTGGTCATGCTGGCTGGGCCCAGCAGGAAGTCTCCAAGAGAACTTGGGCCTCAGGTCTTCCCTGCCATCCCTCCCCCCAGGCCCCCTTGGCCAAAGTACCACATTCAAAGACAAGTCTCAGGCAGGATGGCAACCGTGGAATTACTGGGGCTGCCTTTCTAGAAGCTTCATGCTGATACCCAGGAAGTTATAAGGTCCTCACCCATCTCTGGGGGCTAGTGGAATGGCTAGTGCTGCATCTGTGTGTGCTAGGCAGGAGAGAGAGAGGCAAAGGGCTGCCCGGCGTCCCACCACTGTCCCCACCAGCAGGCCAGGCCAGACACTGTGTCAGCTTCACCCTTCAGCCACCGCATGTGAATGTGTCCTATAAGGCCCAGTGCAATCACCTGGATGCTTCCTCACCACTGCAGGGAGAGTGGTTGACAGATTCAACCCCTCAATCAGACAGAGGGACTCTAAACTGGATGGGGGATGGGGGAGAGGAAGAAGGGCAAATGGCCAGCAGGACTCAAGCACAGAAGCCTACAAAGGGTATCTGGGTTTTAGCCAGATTCAGACTGAAGTTACTCCCCACCAGGAACCCACAGGAGGAAAGCATTCTGACTCAGAAGGGGATTCCAAAGGAATAGCTCCTGCGGGATGGCAGGGAATGGCCCAAAGCCTTGTTTTGTAGAGCACATTGAGGGTGAGAAGGAGTGGGGGAGAGGGAGAAGGAGAGCAGGAAGGGAGGGGAGGAGAGGGAGAGGGGAAGATCTTTTTCCACGTTTAGGTAATTAGGCCTAGTTTCCAAGCAGACCGCCCCCTGAGTGTCTCCACAGGGAGCCAGCCTGGCAGGCAGCAGAAGGCACTCAACTACCTTAAAGGTTCAAAGGTTAATGAATTCTACTGTGTAGGTTTGTTTGTTTATTACTCCACTAGGAAAAGCACCTTCTTTTGTAGTTTCTGGAAGCCAGATTTGGAAACAACTCACCCACCTTTCTGACTTTTCCTTTGAAATGACAGGAAGACAGCATTCTGCCTGGAGACTATAAAGTCAAGATTGGAATTCTTGGGACCCTTGCACCCATGGGGGTGAGGTCCCCTGACACCCATGGGCTCTGGCTCCCCATGGTCTATGGATGAAGGCAGTCAGATACTTCTATCAGGAGCCCTGTTTGAGAGGGTGTTGATTCTTTTCAGCTGCAATCCTCCACAGTGTCCTTTGGAAACCATAGGGGCTTCCCACAGTGAATGACAAATGAGGTTCATAGTTTCCTGGTCCCTCCTAACTCTCAGAACTTGTGGCTCAGTTTCTCCAGAAGGCCTCCAGAATGATGGGAATGATGACTGTGCCATCAGGTCACTTCTCCTCTCTGTGGACTGCTGAGGCCAAGTTCTGGGGAACGGGAGTTGCCGAACACCCATTCTTTTCAGTTGCCTTTGGTCGATGCCCTTCCTGGCCCAGAGTGCACCCAGCGAAATGTGGGCCTCAGTGGCTCTGGAGCTCCCAGAGTTCACGTGCTCAAGGGCCAGATGGGAAGACAAGGTTTACTTAGCAGCTCGGTCAGTCCCTCTGTCAATCAGTGGACAAACATTTCTTGTGGGATAGCGCTGGGCTTCTCATTCTTCCGGAACTTATAATGGAGGGGGAAACTGACTAGATACAAGTAAATCAATAAAAGAAGATCACTTCAGATGGTGACACATCTTCTAAAGAAGATCATGACAGAATGAAGGGATCGAGAATGGGCGGGCATGGCAGAAGCCTTGGGTCAGGGCATGGGACCTTGAGGGTAAGTCAGAACCTGCCACACCATTCTCTAAGATAGGTTAAGCCTGGGGCAGCAGTGGTCTGCTAGGATCTTTCTGTGCCCCTCCAGGGCCTTGGTGCGGAAGCAAGAGACCTCCACCAGTGGAGACACTGTTGCTCTTGGGTCTGAATCCATCTGAGGCTGTCACTGGGGGCTTCACAAAATCAGTGTGGTCAAAAGCCAACAGCAGAGAGCTGTAGTGCAGTTTTTTTCACTTTCTGGCTTTCTGTCTTTGCACTTGATCTCCAACTGCATGAACTCTATTCTGACTCCTCCTCTGTCTTGGTGGTTTCAGGGCTGCCTCGTCCCGGAAGGGCTTGGCCTCAATTCTGGGAACGTTCCTGGGGCAGAGGAAACAAATGTCTTTGCAGCTTGCCTTTCTTCTTCCCCTGTGGTGCCTGCATCCTCCGTCTCACACTGAGTCTGGCCTTCCTGAGTCATGGGCTGAGCTGGCAAGGCACTGTCCCTCAAAGCCCCCCCAGGAGGGTCCAACTTCCAGAGCTTCTTAGGAAAGATTTGGGGGCCAAGCATCTGCCAGGTCCTCCCCTGCTGGGTGGAAGGTGTTGCCTTGGGAAGAGACAAGACAATGTAGGGGATAGGAATTTGAGGCAAGCTAGCTGGGAGCCCTCTCAGTGTTTGACTTCTGAGGAAAGAGAAAGGCAGGGAAGACTAGGGTGGAACAGTAACATCCTGAGTGGACCGTATCCCCATCCATTTTTGCCAATTCTGTCTTTCTGGCAGCTTCATGCTGGACATGAATTCTCAGGTTTCAGCAGAAGACCAAAGAGCTGAAGAGCATGGAGATTCTGAGAGCACACACAGAAAAGGGGAAAAGATACAGGAATCAATAGACCTTGAGCAAAAGGCACCGCTTGTTCTTCCCGGCTGGGGTTGGCGGGATAAGGACAACAAGGCCGTACTTTCCAAGGCAGAATTTCCATTAAAGGACAGAATCACAGAGCCCTTTCAGCTTGAGGACCATCTTCTGATCACTATCACTTAGCAGATGCTTATTTTGCCATTTTTTTCCTGCAGATAGGGCAGACGTCCCGTGCACACTGATATTTCATGAGCTGGAACAACATTTCCATGACCCAAATGATATTCTCTACAAAGGCCCGCTCTGGCTGGTGTCCACCATCTTGCTCCTACCACTGCTAATGTGACTCTTCAGGGCAAGTCAAGCCGTTCCTTCTAGACTCCAGGGGATGATCCAAACTCACAGCCATTGTGGACAGGCTTGGCTTAGCTTCCTTCTGTCTGCTCTTCTCCTGGCAGTGGGGTGACCTAACTTCCCACTTCTAGGGCGCATGAGTCTTGAGTGGGGTCAGAGAACATAGTGGGGTGCAGAGTCCACATCGGATTGCTGGCAAAAGAGGCAGTTCCTGAGCACCCGCTAGGTACAGAGCAGGCAGGTAAGAGGGAGTATCCAGAGGTGCAGAAGCAGAGCCCCTGTCCCCCTTGGGCTCACAGTCTGGCCACAGGGACAGACAGGCAAGGAAGGACCCAGGGTGCTGGAAGGCGTACCACAGGGAGGGATTGCAACTGCAACCGGGGCAGCCCCCACTCATTGCCCTGGAGGTGAGGCTCACGCGCCTGGAGCACTCTGCTTGCTTGGGTGGTCTCTTTGCCAAAGATGGGCTGGGACACAGTAGAGAAAGCACTAGAAATCCCTCATAGGTGTACAAGAGCTTTATGGGCTGTCACCTCCTGTGTTCCTCCCAACAACCCTGTGAGGCAGGCGGGCAGGCTGAGCAGGGGACTGCGCCCCAGTTGACAGATGAGAAAGCGAGGCTCAGGGGAAGTGACTTACCTACAGCGTCGCAGCTAGGCAGTAGTGGAGCAGGCACCTGCCTCCAGGCCTTCGGATCCCAGCCGCCCCAGGGCGCTGCCTCTGAGGTGCTGTACGAGGAGGTGACTCGGGCCAGCTCATGAGCAAAGGAGCTGCCGGGCAGGAAGGACTCACTCCCCAGGGCCTGGCAGGATGGGGGCTGTCGCCCGAGGCTGACCTGGGGGGGCCTGGCTTCCCCAAGCTTGCAGGCTTTGTCTACATGAGTCTACAACAACCGATTGAACAATCCATCAGCTGTTTGGCTACAAAATGGTCCTGACTGATCTTGTCACTGCCATGACCGCCTGCCTAGCTGGGTCCTATGAGTGTGGTGCTTATACACACCAACTGGTCTGGGGCAACAAAATGAAACAGCTTTGCGCTCTTGATTGTCATGGGTCACAAACTCCTTTGAGAATCCATTAAAAGCTATGGTCTTTCTCCACAGAAAAAGCACTCCTAGTGGTGTTTCCCCTTTCCCAGCCCACCAACATTTTACATATAATTTCAGGGGTTTTCTGGACACTTAATACCCATCCATGGATCTCAGTTAAGGATCCTCTGCCTTGGTCAGTCATTGTCTTGTTGGAAATGGGAGGAAAGCTAGGTCACATAGCTGGTTCATCGGCAATGACCTTGACCAATCCCAATCCCTCCCATCTCCTTACCGCCCCCCACCCACCTAACAGAGCACACAGTTCTAAACTGGTTTGTAGGTTTGTGTGTGTAGAAATGCTGAGGAATCTGCAAAACCAAACGGTGAGTGCAAAACCAAACAGTCAAGTGTAAATCCCACAACAGCCAAGTTCTGAACTGCAGTCCTCACTGTACTTCACCTTACCAGGGCCCCAAGGTTTTGGGACTTGTGTGTGTGTGTGTGAGGGGGGAACCTTTCCTTTCTGTCATGTTTTAGATGATAGGGATTTAACCAGAATTGAACATATGACCCAATTCTTTCAGCTAACGGCAATTTAAAAACCTCAAACTTGATAACCATGTCAGAGAACATTTCAAGACTCAAATGAGCTGCTGAAAAAGCCCTGACATCCTGATGAACACACCAAATGCTTGGCAACAGTGTTGTCTGAAAGGACCAGGGGGAAGCCTAACTCCACAAGCACTTCTTTCTACATGACACAGCCTCTTCACTCTCATGCTGTAACACCTGGGCTGCAAAGCACCACCTGTGTCTTCTATCACCCCGGTAGAAAGGGAAATCTTTATCCCCCCCAAACTAAGCTAAACAGTTGGAATCAATTCGATTCATTGCAATAAGCACTTACTAAGCACCTACTGTGCATGGATCTGTGCAATGGACGACAGGCCAGTAGATATTTGGCTGCATCGTTTGACATAACACTAAAAATTGCCACCACTGAATTTATTGAGCATTTGCTATGCACCAGGCACTGACCCAAGTGCTTTCAATATTCAGTCTCACTAGGTCCTTTAAACAGCTGTCTGTGAGGCAGGAACTACTATTGTCCTTATTTTGCAGGTGAAGAGGTTGAGGCCCAGAAAGATTAACTAAGTTGCCCAAAGTCACACAGCTAGTTAGCAGCAGAGCAGGATGCAAACTCAGGTTTGCCTGGTTCTCAAGTCCACACATAGTTTGCTGTGGTGTGTGCGTGTTCAGTCATTAACTTACCAAATGCAAAAATGTGTTTTTGAAATGTACAAACTATTCAAATGCAGCATTTAGAAAAGTTCAGGCAAAGTTTTACAAGGGTGCTCCATAAAAATTCTTAAAGACAAATTATAAAGACTTCAGGATGGGATTGGGAAGACATTCTAACTATCTGGAGAGTTTCAGAGAGTACACCTGTCCCCCAGACAGATACAAACCACTCCCCCTCCCCCGCAAAAAAAAAAAAAAACAAACAACGCAAAATATCCTTAGCAAGTAAAGTCTGTGCACTTGGGAAAGAAAAGCTCTTCATCATTCTGATGGTGTACTAACTGCGCAGGGCCCAGTGCCCCTCCTCTTGGGCCAGTTCACTAGTACAGAGCTCAGCTCCCTGGCCATCTGCAGCTCCAGTTCTTTAAGCTTCAGTTTGTCCTTGAAGCAAGGTCATCCGGGACACGAGCAGACAGGTTGCTTTCTACAACTGACAATTCTTAGTGCATGCACACCTAGCTCTTTGATAATTTTATACACCATTTTATGGCCATACTGGTGTTTTCACAACGCCCAAATGCAAATATCACTAGACTTCTGATTACTTGCCCACTCCATGACGACACAACTGAAAAGCAATGAATAGGGCTTATTTGTAGGGAACTCAAGCATTTTAAGCTTTTGCTTAGGAATCCCTGGTAGCTTCATGTGACTTGTAGGATATTAGTGATGGGTCAAGAAACAGGACCCCCCATCAGCGTTAACATACGCTTGCAGTGCCTCAGTAGTTCATCAGGCAGAAAAAACTGCAGATGGCACATAGAAGTTACCAGCGGCAGAAGATGCCCCAACAGTGTGGACAGTTCTATTTCAGCAGCAATTGGGAGTGGGCCTGGAGCCACTCATTCAAGTGGAGCAGAATGGGAGCAGGCACTTGGCAGACCAATGCAATCCCCAATTGAAAAACAAAATAACCAAAATACATGAGATTCAATCTTGACTCTGACTAACTAGCTTTATAACCAATGCTCATGTGTCTCTTCTATTTTATTTGGTTTAGAAGGAAACCCTGCTTATCACATACCCTGTAAGTGTGAGGCCCAACTTTCAAAGAAATGGTTGTTACGGACATTTCAATTCCTTAAGGTTTTCAAATGTAAGGTAAATCCATCTCTTTCTTTGGAATCACTGAAAATCTGAGAAAAGCTAGTCAATGAACAATCGGTGGGCACGGTCACTAGCTCTTAGACTGGCAGGTTCCACGTAACTCCAGATACCAGAGAATTAGACCATAGGGTGGATAGTGTCTGAGAGCAGTGCCCAATTTCACAGAACTCACATCCATTCAGTTCCCTGGATCTTGAGCTTTCCGTGGTTGTGAGAGAGCCTGCTGGATTGAGGTTGGCCAAAGGTCCCTCCCCCTAAAAAACCCTCCAATGGTTTGCAGCTTCTTAGAGATGCAAGCACACCCTGCTAAAGTCTGCTCTTATGGCTGTCCATAACCTTGGCCTCCTGTCATCTTGGCAGCCAGGTTTCATGTTCCATAGTGTCATGTACTCTACTCTCCAGTCATGGCAAAATCTCCTTTGAGCTCATCAGATCTCTCCAGACAGGCTGCCATGTGTGTCCAGCCCTCTGAGCTTGTGCCCCTTGATTCACCCAGCCTGGAATGCCCTTTCCCCAAGTTTTGACTCTGGGAATCCTGCATGTCCTTCAAGATCCAGCCACTCTACCCTGGGAATTCTGCCTCTCCTTAACCAAGTTCCTGTGACTGAACACCTGGGGCTGACTTAACATCCTTGCTGGGCCAGGTCTTAATTATCTCCAAATCCCTCTGGTGCCCAGGCAGTGCCTGTGCCTTTGCCAAGGGCTTGGTAACTACTCAAAATCCAACTGACCTTACTCTGTTATGCTTAACTGACTGAGCCACCCAGGCACTCTGTCGACCTTACTCTGCTATGAACTTGGCATGATGTCCTGGGCCCTTGGGAGATGGTGATCTGGTGAGAACCGTGCTGGCCTCTTTTTCGGATGAACATTAATGATAAACAGAGCCTTGACCCTCATTGAAGCACGTCTACTCATCCCTTTTCAACACTGTTGTGTTAATAAAACCCACCAATAGAACAGAGAGGAATCATAACCACACCATAAAAATAACATCAGCTAACATATTTACTGGGCACACACTGTGTACTGGGCACTGAACTATGCATACATGCATTTGAGACTGTGGCTAGTTTACAAGACAAGGAAGTAGAGATACGTTTACCCAGGGCACACATTGGCAAGGTATGGTACAGACCCGGATCTGATTTACAGCGTGGCTAAAACCCAAGCAACTCCTGGGTTTGGAAGTACAGAGGCTCCTTCTGCACATGAAGAGGAACAGTAAGGTGTCCTTTCATTTACACTGGAGTAACTCCACCTTGTTGGCTATTCTGTGACACCATTGTAGCTCAAACGGGCTCTGGGGCATGAAGCAAAGGTTATGACTAACCTCCGTAGACATTCAGCTGTTTTGCAAGAAGTGGATGGCTGCTCTAACTATATAAATCATTGGCTAGATTAGATATTGGTCTGGTCTTCTCCACCATGGAGATTCAGAAGGACGTGTATGTGTATTCACAAGGTTATAGCTGTGGCCTATAATTCCACCAACTTCTGGGAGCTTGCAGATTTCTTGACCCCATCATCCAGGAGTTCAGGCAATGAATCTTGAACTCCTTTCTTTCTTTTCTATGTCCTTTACTAACCATGTAACAGAGATGAGCAGAGAAAGCCCAAGAGAAGGACCTGGAGACATGACACAAATGCCAGAGACTCTCAGCCCAGGGTCCTTCAAGAGCTGGGCCGACTTCAGAAGCCAGCTCTAGTTGTTCGAGTCACTGGTGAGATGAATGAGGGTACTAAATGTTATCCAGATAGCCCAAAGAGGTCAAGGTAGAGCTGTGAAAGAAGCTGAATCTTTGGGCATATTGGTGAATGTCCCTATGTGTCAAACAGAAGTGACAGGGGACAATTTTGTAAATTTGAAGTAATGCATTGGGAAAACAGGAAAAATGTAAGTTAGACTTCTTGGCTTTCTGCTTCCCATTTTCCTACTTGGCCAAGTGCAAATGGGAGTTCAATATATCACAACCACGTGTCTGTTAATAATAATACAAGACAGCTATACAACTCAAGTCTGGGATTTTATAAGGAATAAAATGCCAGAAGCTGTATAAGCAGCATTGTCCAAGAGAACTTTATGAGAGGATGTTGAATCATTTTCCCAGAAAGGAAAGAAGGCTCTCTACCTTCGCTGTCCAATATAGTGGCCACTGGCCTCACGTGGCAAGTGAGCACTTGAAATGTGGCTACTGCAAATGGAAAACTGAATTCTTAATTTTATTTACTTTTAATTGATTTAAATTTATTTAAATAGCCACACGGGGCGCCTGGGTGGCTTAGTCGGTTAAGCGTCCGACTTTCGCTTAGGTCATGATCTCGCGGTTCGTGGGTTCGAGCCCCGCGTCGGGCTCTATGCTGACTGCCACCTCAGAGCCTGGAGCCTGTTTCGGTCTGTGACTCCCTCTCTCTCTGACCCTCCCCTGCTCACGCTGTCT